AGTTGAGGGAAGAACTCGAAACGCGAAGGTTCGCGTGTTCCTGGACTCGGGTGCTGAGGCGTCATTCGTGACTGCAGCTTTGGTGTCAGCAATCGATGCAGAACACGTTGGGGTTGAAAATGTAGAGGTGAAGCCGTTCGGCGCGGAACCAACCCAACAGCGCATGGATAAGTACGCCATCACGATCCAGGGTAGCTCCGCTAGCATTCGGGTACGCGCCTTCGTGAAACCAACGCTTGAGCTGGACCTGAAGTGCGCAAGTCCGCAGACCATTGCGCAGTGGCACAGTTGGGGAGTAGAGCTGAGTGACAAGCCTCAACAAGGGACATCAGACGAAATACATATGCTGATTGGTGCAGACTATATCAACGCGGTACTGCACAGCAAGAAGGAAGTTAATGGTGAGACGGTGTGGAACACAGAGATAGGTAATGTATTATCTGGTCCAGCGTCTGCACCAAGTCGAAACAGTCAGCCGGTAACCGTGTCATGTGTCACAGCCCACATCGACAAACTATGGCAGTTGGATGAACCTCCAGAACAACATCAGCACCTGCCATCTTTCCCGCTATGTCGCCAGGGCAGCGGGTACCAAGTGGGTCTCTTGTGGCGAAATGAGCGTCGGCCAACGGATAACTTTGCTCAAGCTAGAGTCATCGCAACGCGGCTTCTTGAAAAGCTGAAGAGGAATGGGAAGCGTGCGCTCTATGATGATGTGCTGATCAGGGAGTACCGCGAGCTTGGAGCAATTGAGCTGGAGCCATGTGAGAGCGATGCCGGGTACTATGTACCGCATCATGGTGTGTTCCGCGAGCACGCTGCAACCACGAAGTTAAGAGTGGTGTTCAATGCCTCGGCGACGGCTCCAGATGGCAAGTCGTTGAACGACATGGTTGACCCTGGACCGTCGCTATTGCCGAGTCTCGCAGGTATGCTATTACGGTTCCGTGAATATAAGAGCGCGCTGCAAGCGGACATCCGCAAGGCTTTCTTCATGGTCGCGGTTAATCCCGAAGACCGTCCGTACTTGCGTTTCTTGTGGCCCGGTCGAAGCGACAGCGATGAACTGTTAACCTGGAGGCTAACGAAACTGCCATTTGGCGTCAACTGCTCGCCGTACATGCTTACTGCGGTGATTCAGCATCACTTGAAGGAGCTACGGGCGTTGTCTGCACCCAAAGAGCGAGATCGTATTGATCTCTTGCTCACGAGTTTCTACGTTGACGATTTGGTCTCTAGTGTCTCAAATGCCTCGGAAGCTAAGGAGATGCAAGAGTTCAGCGTGCGTGTGCTTACGGATGCTGGCATGGAGTTACGCAAGTGGCGAGGCAACGAAATCCCGTGCGATCCAGAGGCCGGAGATAAAGTTCTCGGTCTGAAATGGAAAACCAGTGATGACTTGCTCAGCATAGCAGCGCTAGGCGAGTCCGATAGGCCGTCTGTTTGGACCCGGCGATCCCTCCTCAAGTGTGTTGCATCAGTGTTTGATCCGCTAGGTCTAGCAGCACCGGCAGTTGTGCCGGGAAAGATACTGCTACAGCAAGCCTGGAAAGTCGGAGGCGACTGGGATGATAAGTTGCCTGACGGCATCGCAGCCGCATGTGCGCAATGGTGGGGAGAGTTGGCCGAAGTGGTGAGCATTGACATACCACGTTGGATTTGTTGCACTCTTGAGACGCCGATTGCGCTTCATGCCTTCGCCGATGCCAGTGAGAAAGCGTTTGGATGTTGTTTGTATGCAGTCGTCAATGGACAGTCGCACTTGGTATTTGCCAAGGCCAAAGTGGCACCTGTGTCTCCGCCCACGTTAGCCCGCCTTGAGTTACAAGCAGTATGTCTAGCGGCTCGCTACGCTGAGTTTGTGGTGAAGGAGCTGCGTGTGACCGTCACGCAAGTCTATGGCTGGACTGAAAGTCTCACTACCGTTCATTGGATCAGTAATCCATCGTACAAATGGAAAACATTTGTGGCTAACCGCGTCAGTCAAGTCCAAGAGATATCGAAGAAGGTCGGCATTGTGTGGAACCATTGCCCGGGCCTTCACAACCCAGCAGATTTACCGTCGCGTGGGAGTAGTGCACAGCAGATCCGTAGTCCGTTCTGGAGGGGCGGACCAACCTGGATCACGGAGCCCAATGACTGGCCCACCGCATCCTCAACCGCAGCTACAGATGAGTCCAGTGTAGAAGTACGAGTGTCAGCCACCACCTGTAGTCGAGAATCTGATAAGGAATGGTGGCTCCGATTCAGTAAATGGTCGAGGGCACAGGGCATGGTGACTCGGATGTTGCAGTGGAAGCACACTGAGCCTCGTGCTGAACTCTATTTTGCAGCAGACAACGTATTGTACCGCATCGTTCAAGCCGCATGTTTCGCTGAGGATCTTGAGCTGATCAAGCAAGGTCAACCAGTGAAGCCCGGGTCGAAGGTGTATCAGCTTGCACCGTTTCTGGATGAGCATGGAGTGCTCAGAGCCGGGGGACGACTTCAGCACAGCGAGTTGGCGTATGGAGCCAAGCACCCAGTCCTGTTAGGCAAACATCATCTGACCGAGTTGCTGTTGGAGAAAAAGCATGTTGAAAGGATGCACCAAGGTGTAGAAGGAGTCTTGTCGTTCATCCGTCAGAAATTCTGGATTATCGGTGGTCGACGAGCGCTACGCAACATTACTCAGCGATGTGTTACATGCCGCCGCTACAAGGCTAAGGCTGCCTCAGAAGTCTGCCCGCCGCTGCCAGAAGACCGAGTTGTTCACGAGAGGCCGTTCGCAACTACCGGCATCGACTATGCTGGTCCGCTGTACGTGCGCCGTGGTGAGTCATCTCCGAAGGTATGGATAGCATTGTTTGTGTGTGCCACCACCAGAGCAGTTCACTTGGAGGTGGTCGATAGTTTAAGTACCGAGTCATTCTTGATGGCATTTCGGAAGTTTGTCGCGAGACGTAGTTTGCCGTCTCGGATCAGGTCTGACAACGCTACAACGTTCAAGGCGGCATCTGACAAACTGAGTGTGCCATGGATGTTCAATCCTCCAGCTGCACCATGGCATGGAGGCTTCTATGAGCGAATGGTTGGTACAGTGAAGAGTGCCTTAAAAAAGGTAATGGGAACAGCGTTTCTGAAGGTCCAGGAGCTTGAGACCCTCTTGTATGAGGTTGAAGCAGTGGTGAATAGTCGTCCGCTAACGTATGTGTCTGATAGCCTGGATGAGCCACCAGTAACCCCTGCAATGATGATGGGTGACATCTGGATGTCGTCAGAGAAGCCAGCAGGTACCCTGGACGCTGCGCAGATGTCATCGAGATTGCGTTACCTCAGTCGGACACTGGAGCATGTCAAGAATCGTTGGGAGGTGGAGTACCTCAGTCAGCTGAACAAACACCAACAGACCATGTCGCGCCCTTTAGCTGTGGGTGATGTTGTCTTTGTTCTCGATGATACCAAGCGCAAACAGTTCTGGCGTTTGGGACGGATCATCGAGTTATTCCCTGGTCGAGATGGCAAGCGTCGTGTTGCCAAGGTTAAGTTGAGTACCAGTACCCTGTTGAGGCCGATCCAAAGGTTAGTGCCATTAGAAGTATCGTCACAGGACGTGGCTCCTGGGCTTGCCGATACCGCTCAACCTGCTATCGTCCCTCAGCAGCCAGCATATGAACCGCCAGCACCGTTACCACCACCACGGCAGCAGGAGATGACGCGTTCTGGGCGCGTAGTCAGAGCCCCGGATCGTTTTTGACTTGTGTGCATTGTTGTACGGCGGTGAGAAGCCCTTTGGTGGGGAGAATGTTGTAAACCACCAGTTCTCAATTGGGAAAGGCCTTCGCGCTTATGGCATTGTATTCGTTGAAATGTTGTATTTCGACTCCGCCGTACCGCTGATGTTGCTGCATGGCATACGCTATATGCGTTGTGTGCGTTTTGCTGTATACGCTGTTATGTCCAGTTTTATATGCTTATGTTTTGCATGTACGCTGTTTCTGCATGCTATAAATAGCTGGTGTTATTAGTGTTCATTGTTAATTATTCGATGGAGTGAAATATACTGTGTAAAGGAAAGAGTTGTCCTCGTGCCGTGTGGTCGTACGATCCTGACAATTTAGAGAATCTTAGAGGGTTCACAACAATGTGGGTTTTGGTCACAACTAGGTAATGCAAACAAATTGAATGTAGTGCATGCAATTATCAATGTGGTAGTACCGTAATACTAGTTTCATAGTGTAATCTAGACCGAATTCCACATCCAGAATGCCAAAATTGCCAAAAATGTATCGGATGCCGGTAAAAACTGCTGTTTATGCTAGCATCGTGTGGAGTCACAAAAAGGCCCTTTTATGCTACTTTGGGTGCTAGCATTTGCCGCTGGGGCCTAGAACTTGTGCAGCAACTATCCACGACTGTAACAAGATGATAAACAGTCAGAAAGTGACTGTGCGATAATAGGGCACGAGACTGACAGGCCACTGAGACATTCAGCGGCCCGAGACCTAGCTCTAACACATCTCCAGTGCGCAAACCAACCTTCCAACTTGGAAGGTTCGTGGTTCGTGGACTACAACCTATTTGTATCTGGACCTGTTAACGTCCATCCAGGCAATATCGCCATTTAATACTGAACTGGTGTTTTTGAGTCGATAATTGCTTTTTTT